CTGTGAACTTTACAAGGGGTAACATAATTATGAACGCAATTAGTTGCTGCTCGCTTTTTATATTCATTAGCGTTCAAAAAAATATTACAGTTAAGTGATCTTTAATTTCACACTGATATTTTTTTAATTTACTTGTTAGCATATTTGTCTGTTTATCCGGAACAGTTTTTAGTTCCAGTAATTTTTATATTCATTGGAGAAATAGTTCCGACTTGCCTCTTTTGTTATGACAATATCATAATACCAAAATCTGCAAAAAAAAAAAAAAATGCAATTCGAATTCATGTAATACAGCTGTTCAAATTACATGCTTCACACTGTACTTTCTGAGTTTAATTGCACTTTTAAATAATTGGTCAGTCAATTGCTAACCAAATGATCGAAAAGTAAAAGTTTTATCTTCAATTACAATACTTTTTAATTCAGATGTGTGGATATTTCTTTCCTTCAATGAGCGGGATCTTTGCAAATTTTTCTAACTCTTCAGCAAAAGTAAATTTTTCTAACTTAAAGAGTTGGCTATTTAAGCATTTAAAAAAGGGAAGGGGATTTGATTATCTGACAAAAAAAGTCAGCAACTAAACTTAACCTGTATCTTTCATACAACACCATACTGCAGCAACGTCTCTATTGCTCCGCCTCTACGTCACTGGCGGATGTCGACCGCGTCGATAAGCTATTAATTCGAACATCCCAGCGAATTTAATACTTCGAAGCTATAACTTTTACTTGGCTCAGCTCCGAAGTCTCCAAGCCTAAACCATGAGCTAGAACGCCACTTTAATCGCTGTCCCTAATAAAGAAAACGGTGTTGATGATAAGACGGATACTTGATTAGAGTATGCAACAATTTCTTAATTAATTACAAAGCGTCGGCTATCCGCAAAGCCTTTTATAAACTTTAGTTACCGTCCACGGAAAATATCCTCCAAAATATGGGATTTTATCCTAAGTCCACGAAGTTACAATTGCTGATGAAATTTTTTGACCAAGTTATTGGATGCCAAGATGCCATAATATCATGGATACCAATCTAAAGAAAAATTATGAATTCCGATTGAAGTATAACAGAGCTAGTAATGCTGATTATCACACAAATAATAAGGGGGCTTGTGCAAACAGCCAAACTTTCAGTCCAAATTAAGGGAAGATGGCCGCTAGACCAATGTTTCCGTCGTCTGTATTTCAACAAAAATAATAATTCGATTATATGCATATTTTTGAGTTTCTACAAAAAGGAAAAACTTATACATTATGCTGCATAAAAGAGTTTAAAAAGTATCTTAATCCTCTGGATAATCTCTTTTTTCTCACAGAAGGATTCGATATAACTAAGTATATTTCTTATTTTACATAATAATAAAAAAGAAAAGGTACATATGTCTATTAAAGTATTCAATCTTCAACAACCCTGTGATCCAAATTTATGAAGGTCGATTAAGATTATTTCAACATGTGCGTTACTTCATCAAGATTCTATACTGGAATTTTAGCGCCAAGAAAGCGACATAAATTGTAGCCCTCCTCTACAAGAAAATATCAATCTGGTTCAAGTACAATACAACTTGTTTCAAATACAAAACAGGGTACGGTTTCCGGTCGTGTGGAATCATCAAAAACCATAGAAAACCCATTTCCTTCACCAAACAAACACTTGCCTTATTCCTAGGAGAATAAAACATAAAAAATGAAATCTTACCTAAATAATTGCCGACTAAATATGCACCCTAGTTTTCCACTGTCTAAGGTAGCTTCGACTAAAGAAAGATTGCCTGCCAACATATAAAATAGGATAAACTTTATGAAGCTACCATATACTTTGGATCACATAACTATAGTTTATGGTAGCTCTTGAAAATTAAGATAGTTTTCTGAAGGGGGGGGGAAAGAGCCTGTAAGTTAATGATAGTTAATGAAAACAAGAAGTTCACAATAGTTTTTACGAAACAGTGTCAAGTTGAAGATAATGACACAAAATTTAATGTAAATACTGCATCAACTAAAGAAAATAATCTGTTCGGAGTAGACATGCGTACAAAAATAAAATAAAATAAAACAAATCACCCAACAGCCTAAGGCTTGTCCAAGCAGATGAATGAGTTCTACCGGTACCGAGGAAAAGCTGGCAACAGATACTAAGCACGTCAAGGATGTGGGCATTGTGTTTGTCGACAGATTCTAATGCGAAATTAAGACATCGTCATTAAAGCATTGCTTCTGCTTACATACATTTTCAGCACTTTAGCATCAATAGTAGTTTTTTTTTTTAAAAAAAAAACAACAATGTAAAAGAAATTTTCTCATGAAAGTCGGCATTCAAAATGGTTTTCTTTCAAGTTTAGTTGGAAACTGAAGGCAGCAGTATTTGTCCCTGAGGCTGCAGCTCATGAGCATTGAAACTTACAAAGCAATGGCAATTCAAAAAAATCAGCAGAATGGTGTCACCTGGTTCTTTTCCAGGCAATAGGCAGAGTTGCCAAAACAATAAACCAATCTCTCCAAATATTACATCCCAAATTATCTACTGAGTTCCGTGGTTAAGCTTCAGGATGCTTATTTTTAATAAAGAAAAGGTTACCGGTTTCTCAAGTGATCTATTAAAATTTTGACCATGACAGGGAAAAGATCAACCATCTTCGCTTCCTCTGCTCTTCGTAAAATATAACGGTGACCATCACCATAAGCAATTTTTCAAATATCCTATTATCATCTGAACAAGCATCGTTAACTTTCCTAATCAGATATTGCAATGTTTGACAGTGAATCTCATAGCTCCAACTACTAATTGCTCTTCTGCGTCTGTTTCTAGAAAGCTTTAGCTATAGCCTATGTCCTGCTATATATCCACTTAGAAATCAAAGATAAAGGAGCACTATTCTCAACCTCTCAAGTCAGCCTTCTAAAATTATTTATTTTTTTGACACAGTTGAGCTCTGTTTATGTAAATCACCATTTTGCTTGTTCCAGTTGTTTAACTGCGATCTAGCGCAATCTGCAAGTCCATATCTTTAATGATCCATGCACGCCACAAAGAGCGTTCATTTTTAGAACTCTGAATTTGCCTTCAGTTCGCCTGTTCGCCTTGGATATTTTCGACTTGATGACCAAACTTCATTCATGATGCAACTGGATTTTCTTAAAATCCTACAGTTTGATGGCTAACTTTTGTCCATAATGCTAATTGCTCGGATTTTTCAAGATTGAGACCAGCTTCATCCAGAGTAATTTAATTCGCTCCACAAGCTAAAAAAATCCTTAAAAGCTCATCAACTGTGGCAGGGTATTCTTTTCATCGATTCTTATTGTTGTTTAGCATTGTCTTAGGACTCATATGCAATATATAATCTATGTACCTCAGCCTTTCATCTATATGTTCCTCTTACGATAAGTACTGCATGTAACAATTCATCAGAGAAATTCACTCTTATCGCAATCGGTTTCTTCGTCGATGAAAACCTTTAAGATAAAGGTAAATTCTTATGAAGGAAAGGAGTAAACAGCTTCCATGTTGCTCCATCGTGACTACAAGAAAAGCTCCAGTAAGAAAATTTTCTCCCGTTTGCAAGCATAACAAATTACTCAGTTGAGAAACATAACGAACTTATGCTTTAAATGATAGTTTGAAAGGTCAAAATTGCAAATTCAATCAGTATGGATTTGTGCATCCATCCAATTAAAATATTTATTGAAACCATGTTAAAGTGTCTATAAATTGTCTGGGTTTAAAACAGTCAAGTTGAAGTCTATAATCCTTGACAAGCCTCAATGAAAAAACATACAAAATTATTATCAAAACATTCACATAACCATATAAAATTACTAATAAAATGTTCACGAAAACCCCTTCCAACAAAAGAAAGAGATACTAGGCTTTTATAACCTCAAATTAAAATCGTAGCATTATATATTCTTTTCATCGATGCTTATCGCTGTTTAGCAATGTCTTAGGACCTGTTTGGTCTGACTTCTGTGGGCAAACTTTCTTAAGGTGCAATATTTTTCGCCCATGTACCTCCGCCCCGTCATCTACATGTTCCTCTTTATCATAAGCAGTGTGAGTAACAATTCATCAGAAAAGGTTAGCCAATCTTATGGCAATCGGTTTCTTTATTGGTGCAAACCTTGAAATAAAAGATAAAGGTACTTCCCATGTTTGCTCCATAGCCACTATAAGAAATGGTCAGGTAAGAAACATTTCTCAAGTTCACTTGCAAAGATAACAGACTACGCAGTTGAGAAACATAACAAATTTCTGCTTTAAATAATAGTTTGAAGCATTTCTCCCGTTCACTTGCAAAGATAACAAAGGGGTCAGGTAAGAAACATTCCTCCCATTCACTTGCAAAAGTACTTAGCTGATAAACAAAACAAATTACTTGCTTTAAATGATAGTTTCAAAAAGTCTAATAGACTACAAATTCAATCAGGATGAATTTGTGCATCCATCCAATTAAAATATTTCTTCAAACCATGTCAAAGTATCCATAAATTGTTTGAACTTAAAAGGTCGAGTTGAAGACAATAACCCCCGACCTCAATGAAAAACATACAAAATATTTGTTAAAGCATTCATAACCGTATTAAATTGCTATAAAATATTCATGAAAACCCCTTTCAACTGACACTAGGTTTTTATAACCTCAATACAGTAGCAATATCATAGCATTACATATTCTCCATGAGAACTATGACCCATAAATGTATTCGGTAATGTAGCACACAGACCTAAGCTTCAATAGATGATAGCAATTCAGCCAATTGGGCATCCGAAAATAAAAAAATAAAGCAAATCATAATTCATATATTGTAGATAGAAAACATTAAAGCAATTGCATCCGTCACACACACACACACACAATACTGATATTATATATCAATCATAACCCGTATACAAAGGGCTTCATAGCAATCCGAACAGCAAAATGCATCTAAACATTCACAATCTTTGACAAACTAGCATTAGATAATAATCCAACCCATGACCAAAAGAGCCATCTACATACTTATAAGATTCCTTTATTCCAAATTTTGCAATGTAAAATAACAAATTTATGAGATAAATATGTTCTAAATTCTCTATTACAACTCCTTACAAACACCTCTCAATAACCAATTCCCACATAATAACCCATATTGAATCCTCCTCCAAAAAGTTTGATCTAACACTACCATAACTCATCTAACAACAACAAAATGCATACAACATAATATTAGAAAACCCTCTCTGCCACAACAATAACAACAACATATCAATACAAATTCAAGTTCAAGCATCAGGTAATATTTCAAAATCATACCTGATTCTTTCGTCCACTGCCACCTCCAATCGGCCCGTGCTCCCCGTCCTCCTCAACTTCCACCTCTCATACTCTGGATCGTCAGTTGGAAGCTCAAAACGACAAAGCGGGCAAGTGTTCCTCATCTTCAGCCACGGCAAAATGCACTCCTCATGGTAGCAATGCGAGCAAGGCAGCATCTTCGCCTTCTCCTCAGCCGAAATCTCATCCTTACAAACAGCACAGCCATTGATTTCCACATGATCCTTCGTCAAGAAAACTGAAGGCAAGCTCTCCACCACTAATTTCGCCGCCGGCGGGCTCCCCTTGAGCAAACTATCGTGATGACCTTGAAATTGGGCGAATTGGACCTCGTCATAATCTGAAGTCGCGTAAACAAAACCATCGTCGAGATAAGATTCGGAATCATCATTATTCCCCAAATGATTCATCCAAAGAACCTCCCATTCGACATTGCTCGCCCTTTCTTCATCATTAACCCCTTCTTGATTTAGATTAATCACCTCCCTTTCCTCCACTCTCCCATCAACCTCCTCCCACTCAAACTCCGCATTCAAATCTCTCCTCTCATCATCAATCCGAAGACAATCCCAACAAAGAGGAAGATCAACGCTCGCATCTCCCTCAATCTGCTCATCCAAGACCGAGTCCTCCCCGATCGCAACAATCTGCTCGTCCGAATCCGAATCAGACTCAAAGGCGAGAATCCGCAAGCCGTCGCGATCAATCGGGCGAGCGCGGGAGAAGTCTCTGCTAGATTCGGATTCAGATCCGTAGCTGCTGCTGAATCGGCGGCCGATGAAAAACTCGTCGTCGACGCCCCAATCGCCGTGGTTCGGATCTTGCCCTAAACCTAGATCCATGTCGTTGTCGGGTAGGTTGAAGAGGGAGAGGGAAAGGGTCGGCGGATCTTGATCGCGATCGGGTTCGGATCTGGATGGGGAAGTGGATCGGGGAGAGGGGGGAGAGAGGGACCAGAAGACGGGTAAGGGTTCCATGGATCCGATAGAGAAGCGCTGCCTCTCTTTCTTTCTCTCTCTCTCTCTCTCTCCTCCCCTCTCTCTTTAAAGGGAGGAGCTTATTTATTGCGTGCGTGCGTTACGTATGGTGTACTGCAAGCGGTGCGACTGGTCCTCTTCCATTGAATTTGTGATTTGAAAATTATTCTATCAATATTTGTTGTTCGAGTTATAAGTTAAGGTTATAAAGTTTGGGTTTTGGCAATTCTTGAAGACTGGGCCAGTATTAGTCCTGGGTTAGTTTTGATTTCTTTTTTTTTTTTTTTTGGTCTTTGGTCTAAAAGTGCTCAAACTTAGCCCAGTTCTTTTTAGGTCAAATTTTGGGCTTAAAATGGGTCCCCCATACTAAAAGTAATATAGTTTAGCATACCAGGTTAGGATTGATCCTCATCCGGTTTTAAGCATTTTGCCAAACATGACCTAAGGGGGGGTTATTCGTTGGTGTAATTTGGTGTAATTTGGGGTAAATTGTTCCAATGGGGTAATTTTACCCAATGGGATAATTGAGTGGGATAAAGTGGGGTAAAGTGGGGTAATGGGATAATTTGAGTGGGACAATTTTAGTATGACATCTTTTTATAATATTATATTTTTAGCTCAATTAAATTCAAGTTTAACTTGATATAACATCAAATGATTAATTTTAATATTATTTTAATATAAAATATTAAAAATAATATAATAATATTAATATTAATCAATCTTAAAATATTTTGATGTTTATTTTAACTATTATGCTAGATTAACAAATTTTTTAATTGCAATAATTATTTAATCATTCATACATCTAATTACAATGATGATGATGATAAAGTATCAATTATTACAAATAAAGTCTCAGTTGGTAACTTAAATCTTAATTATTACAAATATAATCTACCGACATATAACTTTGCTCTAGACTCCTTGGGCTACGTTTGTCCCATCCTCCCACATTGTGTTTGCCATTTGTTCTCTCCAACGTGATGCAGCTGTCCGTTGTGCTTGTTGAGTTTGTAGGTCATCGTCCTCATCAGAATCACCATCAATCGGAGCAACATTGCGTGGTGCCTCTGGAGGAAGATCAGAAACTTCAAAGTCATCGTTGGAGTTCTCCATCTTCAGAAAATTATGCAGGCCGATACATGCCCAGATCATACTTTTTTGAGTCTCATATGGAAAACCTGGAGGTTGAGACTTAAAAATTGTAAACCTAGACTTAAAAATGCCAAAAATACGTTCAATACAATTTCTAAGTGATGAATGTCGATGGTTGAATAGCTCATGAGCATTGCGTGGTCGCTGACGGTTGTTAGCTGGGCCAAACTCTTTAAGGTGGTACCTCGTACCCCGATAGGGAGCCAAGAATTGTAGCCTATTTGGATAACCACAATCAACTAGATAAAATTTGGGTAACCACAATCAACTAGATAAAATTTACCTGCATTAACATTTCTTTAGAATTATAATCACTAAATATAAAATCTAACAAATTGATAAAAAAAATATTTACCATTTGGAAGTGGAAGACTACATGCACTTCTACTCATTGCATCCTTCAGGACCCGTGAGTCATTGGCAGATCCCTCCCATCCCACTAAGACATAAATAAACCTAAGATCAAATGTGCATGCTGCAAGGATATTTTGAGAAAGATAGCCATGTCTATTACGGTATGGAGTTTGGTCATCGCCATATACCATACATGGAATGTGGGTCCCGTCAATAGCACCAATACAGTCCTATATATTCCCATTAACATATATGAAATGTGACTTTAAAATTATAATAATAACATCATATGGATCTTTGATATCTTATATCTCCTTAACTATCTCATAGTTAAGCAATAAATAAAGCCTTTTATAAAATGTATCTTATACAGTTTTATTATATTACTATAGTTGGACATAAAACCAACAGTATCTTCCATCTTGGCAGTCATATCCTTGTTTGTATGGCTATTTGACTGCTATTCTGGACCTCGTGTCTGATTTAAATCTTAGCATTGGTTTATCATCCAAGTGAATGTAAATTATTGGTCATGAATGCAGAATGGTTTAAGCATGTGATATATAAATAGGAACCCTGTTAGCATTAAAGCACAAAATCTACAACTTATTAGGGTTCTTCTAGCTATAGATCGAGATTAAAACTGTCACTCGTAGAACCCATCCACCCACCCAAACCAAAACACTTGAAGCACATTTATCTACCAAATCCACCAGAGTGCAAAATAAAGAGTAAAAAAAGGAATAAAACCAAATCCTGTGGCCTGCCTTTTGCACCCAGACCTTCTGATTTCCGTACATAATGGGAAAGTGCATTTGCAGGTTAGCTATGAACAAATCAAGACTTTATTGGCAATGGAAGACCTCAATGTATCAACAGAAGGCTTGGGTTGGAAAAGTAACTCATCAGACAGTGCTCCTGTTGAGATAGACTCATCGGCATGCACCAGAGGAGACAGAACACATGAACCAGGAAGTTGGAGATCCTTCACCGAAAAAAGAGCAGGGTCTCACTCTGAAACTAATGGCAGCCAGACACTAACACCGCCAAGTTGTGAAACTATTGCAGGAACAAAGCAACCACGTAATGACGAGTCTTTACTTGATGAGTGTCCTTCAGTGAAACATCACAAAGCCAATGAAGGAGAGAACTGTCTTGATGGATTAGAGGCAACAGAAAGCACTATACTAGAGTGGATTGCAGAACACGATGGGGTAAATATCTGGTTTCTAATCCGCAGTCATAATATTTAGATACCAGTCCCTCCTATCTTCAATAGTTCCCTATTAGTCCCTCAAATCTTTGAAATTGCTCATAAGTCCCTCATATCCTACGTGGTCTTGCAATTTGATCCATCAATGACCAATGTACCCCTCAGTTTATATTCCCCCCAAACATACTCTTGTTAAAAGAAACGTTACTTGGGTATATTGATCACTGAGGGACCAAATTGCAAGGCGCCTCGGGATTTGAGGGACGTATGAGAAGTTTCAAAGATTCAAGGGACTAATATGGAATTGTTGAAGATTTGAGAGACATATATCTAAATAACTCTAAAATTGCTTGCTGCTTTATGATGTTTTTATGAAAAAAAAAAACCCTGCAGGTTTTATTGTCTGAAATCACTGACCATTTTGGAGGATCAGAGAGAGAGTTTATTGTCAACCTCGTGGGATGTCTTGAAGGGAAATATGTTATATTTAAGAAGAACGATATGTACAGAGCTTTATAAATGTAGGAAGTAGAAAGAACAGAGCAACTCTGACCAGACTTCAGTGTATGTTATCGACAGCCTAGCAATAGAAGTTAGGATTATTGTGATATTGTTGAGCTCCATTTCATGAGCAAATGCCAGATCCTATCTCCAATTTATCATGCCTTTACAACCCCCTCGAGCTCCATTCTTAACTTCCTGTCGCTGATGGTTGAAAGGGACTATGAATTCCATGATTTCGGTTTTAGTTGTGGTTATACATAACTCAAAATTTTGAGGTAAAGCAAAGACATTGTTTGCATCAAACTCAATAGTTGTATCTTTGTTTAGTTATGGATGCAAAAGCTATGCATGTATACCTTTAATATTTTGTTTGGCGATCAATGAAATTGGATTTGGACCTTCATTTACAAAGAAAACTAAGGTGCGTTCCTCAGTTCAGGGGGAAGAGCTCTCAGGTTAAGATGCATTCTGAATAGATACTCTTAACATTTAGTCAAAAAAACATAAATATAGATGGACTTGAAAAGGATCCACATTGGGTTTCTCATGATGCCGCATCTGTTAGCATGCACTTAAAAAATACAGTGGAACATATATCATACGTACAATGGAAACTTTTGATGTAACGCCCACATGATATTTAGAGCATCAGTTCCATTTCATAAGAAACATATTTCGATCTGAGTACTACCCAGCCCATTTGGCAAGGTTTGCTTCATGTTAAATTGTTAATACAACTCAAAGATTACCAAAGCAAACAAGCATCAGGTGCTCTATCTCATTTACAACAAGGCCTAGGTGCTCTATCTCAATTTGTTCACTATAAAATTCAGTTTTGACATCGGTGCTTTATGGATCCAGAGATTGTACCTGGGTTGGGAGGCGGTGCCGCGGAGGAGGCCGCGGAGGTGATGGCGGCGGCGACCGAGCCCGAGAACGGCGGCGGCGAAGCGGGCGTTCGAGCTCGAGAACCAGATCCGAGCTCGAGGCGGCGAACAACGTTCGACGACGAACGACCTCGAGGCGGAGAGAGGAGGCGAAGGAGGCGGACGTCGACCTAGAGACCGGCTCCGCTCGAACTCGAGGCGGAGAGACGAGGTCGGAAGAGGGGGCGTCGGGTCTCCAGCTGGGTTTTTTGGTTCCAGCGAAAGAATTGGGGCAAATTTTGGGGGTTGGACTGAACTTCCCTTTTATAGGTGGGATAAATTGGGGGAAAGTGGGGAAGTTGTCCCAGAATTACCCCAACAAACCAATAACACCATAAAGATTACCCCAGTTCCAATTACCCCAATGAATAACACCAAACATTATTGTTCCAAAAATTATCCCATTATCCCAACAATTACACCAACCAATAACCCCCCCTAAGTGTATCGTTAAGATAATTAATAGTTATCATAGCATTACTTCAGAATTCCTAAGGGAGTGAGTGAAGTAGAACTCAAAACTAAAATTAATAGTTACCATAGCATTATTATTTATAACTGATATCAGTTATAAATAATAGTTACCATAGCATTACAATTTATAACTGATATCAGTTATTTATAATTATCAATTCAGCCCATCATAGAATTAATAATTATATTTTGGTCTCTACACATAGGAGGCTCATACTTTAATTATGCATTAAAAACCTAAACCCTAAATTAGATCACTTTAATGGACTAACCTTAATTGATAGCACATAATACATATTAATTTAATATATTGGCTCATATATTAACACAAGTTTCATAACATTTTTTTTTCTAATGATCTAATTTTCTCATTGTTTGGTATTAACACAGATTTCATTATTTTGAATGCATGCTTGTTCCTTGGGGTAATTGCATATTAATCCCTTACATCTTTCATAATTACAACTTAGTCCCTCAAATCCATATACCTCTTGCAATTTTGTGCTTCTGGTCTAGTAGTGTGAGTTTTGAGGGGACATTCTATTAACGGAATGAGAGGGTTCACTCATTGTACCCTCATTTAAGGCCCACTAACTTATTTCTTTGCGGTTTAAACCGAAACCTACTCATCCTAAAATCTGAACCTAAAAGACTCTTCTATCCCAATGGTCAAGGGCACCCTAAACCCATTTCAGAGCTCTTTTCATGGCCATATTCCATTTAAATTCTATATATTCTTCCAAATTTTCTACTATCCATTTCTCATCATACACTAGAGGGAAACATGTACTAGAGGGGGTATTTTTTAGGTAATTCTAAATGTTAGATTAGGGGTTAATCTAATATGGTTAGAGAAAATACAAAAAGTTGACACTAAGATTTGAGGGGGGGAATTGTAATAAAACTAAAGATTTGAGGTAACGATGAGCAAATACTGCAAGTTAAGGGACTAATGAGCAAATACTATGATTTGAGGGACTAATTTGCAATTATGGATAGGGACTAATATGAAATTATCCCTTGTTGAATTTTGTTTGGAAAAGTAGATCAATATGTATGTCTACTTTTAGGATGGCAGACCATTTACTGTTAGTCTAAGGTGTAGACCCAAAGTCGAGACAAAAGCTGGAATCAAAACGATGAAGAAAAACGAGCTGACAGATCCACGGTCGACCTCGAGAATCTGGCGGTCGACTGCGAACGTGCACAGGAGCTCAGGAGGAGTTGGATCCGAAGGCGGTCGACCGTGGCGATCGACCGCACCAACCCTGTAATCAATTTAAGTCTCTGTCGTTTGATACGGTCAACCGCGATTGGTGTGCGGTCGACCGCGATACCTGTGCGGTCGACCGCCACGGTCGCCCGCGATGCAGTTTGACAGTTTCCTAAACTGTTTTGGATTCTATTTCTACCGGGACTCTATATATACCTTAAATGTTTTTAGGGTTTATACAACACGAAAAAAGAGTTTTTGACTGTAGAAAGAGAGAGAATCTCAGAGAGATTAAACCCTAGTTTGAGAGCTTATATTTCTTCTTCAATTAATAAAGAAATTGTGTTGTGTGGCTCCTGAGGACATAGACACGTTGCCGAACCTCGTTAAATCTGCGTGTTCGTCTCCTTTACTAGTTTTGCAAGGTTAGATCTTTATTTGTGGTATTATTCCTACTTTCCTACTTTCAACACATGGTCTAGAAGGGCAAGGATTCGATTAATTGTTTCGAATCCCCAACAACTGGTATCAGAGCTTCGTTCAGCAATTTGTGTGAAAGCCATGACAGAGGAAAACAAATCAAAGATCGATAAGTTTGATGGTTCAGATTTCGCCTACTGAAAGTCGCAGATGGAGGACTATCTGTACCAGAAGGACTTGTATCGCCCGTTGATGGGCAAGGAAAAGGGAAAGAAGAAGGAGGAGTCAGATGGTGATTGGGAGATACTGGATAAGAAGGCTCTAGGACAAATCCAATTGTCGCTCGCCAAATTAGTAGCCCATAATATTTTGAAGGAGAAGACGACGGTGGGGCTTATGGAAGCGCTTGCAAAGATGTACGAGTAACCGTCGACAGCAAACAAGGTGCATCTCGTCAAAACTCTTTTCAACATCAAGATGGAAAAAGGACGGTCCTTCACGATGCACCTCAGCGAGTTCAACACGATTGTTGATCAGCTTATCTCCGTGGACATCATGTTTGATGACGAAGTGCAAGCCCTATTGATTCTATTATAGTTGTCGGATAGTTGGGCAGGTTGTGTGATGGCAATCAGTAATTCGACAGGGAAGGAGAAGTTGAAGCTGAGTGAGCTTGTTAGCATGATCCTATCCGAGGAGGTTAGAAGGAAATCGTCCAAATCAGAAGGTTCAGGTTCAGCTCTAAACTTCGAGCAGAGAGGCAGAAGCCAGAAAACCAAAATAGGAATCGGTCGAAATCAGTGAAGAAGATGTCGAACTCGAAGGTTAGGCCTATCAAAGGAAAGTGTTGGAACTACGGCCAGGAGGGTCATATGTCTTCAGTCTGCAAAAGTCCAAAGAAGGATGCGGGTGAGCAGGATCTCATATCGTGCAGGATGCCTTGATCCTTTCTATGAATAGCGACTCGAATTCTTGGGTCATCGATTCAAGAGCCTCTTTCCACGCCGCTGCTAACAGGAAGCTATTTTAGAATTATGTAGTAGGTGACTTTGGAAAAGTGTATTTGGGGAATAACAAGCCCTGTAATATTGTTGGAAAGGGTGAAGTGCAGATTCAGATGAAGGGCTCTAAGTGGACCTTGAAGAACGTGAGACACGTGCCGAAGCTGAAGAGGAATCTTATTTCGGTGGGACAGCTTGGAGCAGAAAGCTATGTTTCGACATTCACAGGGGATTCGTGGAGAATCTCTAACAGTACGATGATAGTTGCTCGAGGCAACAAGTTAGGAACTCTCTACCTCACCTTACATATGAGTGACACCCTTACAATTGTAGCTGGTAAAGAGAGTACAGATCTGTCACACTTGCAGGTATTTGGTTGTGTGGCTTATGTTCATATCAGTGACCATGTTAGGGACAAGCTAGAAGCTAAGTCACAGAAGTGCACATTCATTGGATATGGCATTGATAAGTTAGGGTATCGTCTTTGGGATGAGAAGAACAGGAAGATCATCAGAAGCAGGGACGTGACATTCAATGAGGATGTGATGTACAAGAACAGGGAAAATACCAAGGATAGACAAAGCAGTGAGAGCAGTACTACGGATACAGGTGGATCGAGTACATGGATTTAGAGGAACTTCCAGATAGGGGTGATGATGTTTGTTCTGAACATAGAAATGAGGAGGCTCCAGATGCAGAAGAAACTACCCAGGGCGTGGAACTTAGGAGGTCATCCAGGATACCCAAACTAAATCCCAGATATCTTTCATCTCTTAACTACCTATTGTTAACAGATAGCGGTGAGCCGGAGTGCTATGAAGAGGCAATGCAAGTGAGTGAATCTCAGCAGTGGGGGCATGCTATGCAGGAGGAGATTGATTCTCTACTCACTAATGAGACATGGGAGTTAGCCCAGCTACCTGCACAAAAAAAAAACCTTACATAACAAATGGGTCTATCGGGTCAAGCAAGAGAGTGATGGAAGCAAGAGATTCAAGGTCGGATTAGTAGTGAATGGGTTTCAACAACGGGAAGGAGTGGACTACACGGAGATATTTTCCCCTGTTGTGAAACTCACAACTATCAGAGTAGTGTTGAGTTTGGTGACTGCAGAAGACCTCTTTCTTGAGCAGTTAGATGTGAAGACTGTCTTTCTTCATGGTAACTTGGATGAAGAAATCTACATGAAGCAGCCTGTTGGCTTCATTGAAGAAGGAAATGAAGAGATGGTGTGCAAGCTCAAGAAGAGCTTATATGGTTTGAAACAGGCTCCGAGACAGTGGTATAAGAAGTTTGATAACTTCATACAGAACAATGACTACAGAAGATGCAATTCAGATCATTGTTGTTATTTCAAAAGGTTCGAGTC